CTTAACTTTATATTCATTTAAAAAACAAATGAATTATTTTTTGTGTTAAAATTGTCGACATAATTAACTTACTTTTAAATTTATTAGTCAAGAATTTCTTTTAATATTTTTTTATTTGTGTGTGGTAGTAGAATTGGATGTTTCGTGTAGCATTGTGTTAGTTATATATTAATGTCATCTGTTAGGAAAAAGAGATAGAAAGAAAATAGAATTATCACTTGTTAGTTTTTGTGTATTATTTTGAGTATTTTAACGGTTTTTTTTGAGATTTTTATTAAACAATAATTTAATTTCACTTTAAAGCAGTGTTGTCCAAACTATGTGCCGCGGCACACTAGTGTGATGTCAAAATTTTTTGAAACTGACACTAGCCGCAAGCTGTGTGCGACTTCGGTCATGGCTTACCCCCCAGGTGTGCCGTGGCTCAAAAAATTAAGACAACACTGGTTTAAAGGATCATTCATTAATGACGTCTATCATATTTTTGGCAGAACCTCTCACTGCTGATGTAAAATAGTATGAACTTAGTAAAATAAGCTAGATTTCTAAACCTAGCTGAAAAAAAAAACAAAAATTTATCATGGTTCAAAAGATAATTCACTAGTCATAGCCTAGCTAACATAGCAGAGGGCGAAGTCGACTCGGATTTTGTATGGAAAAGTCGACTTGAGTTCACTCGACTTCATACAAATTTCGAGTCGACTTCGCCCTCTGTAACATAGTAATGATAGAAAGCAGCCTAATCTGTGCGGGACATGTCTTGAATACAGTCCTTAAGAAGCAGCACTGGTTAACTTTCAAATATTGTAAACAAAATGTCTACCTGACTGAAAACTTCTGAGCAAAAGTGACCAATTTGACATTCTATTGATAATTGGTTATTGAAGGACCAGAACTAAGGAAAAAAGGTAGGCCAAAAATGTGATATTTCATACATTAAAGTTGCAAATATTCAAATTAAGTTCTCTAAAGATTGATAAATTGAATTTATGAAAGTCGTCATTTATGAATGACCCAATGTGTGTGTTTTGTGGACAAATTTAAACATTTCTGAAGCAAAAAAGTCCTCAAAAATGCTAAAATTCATCCAAAATCTAAAAACTAAGAATGTGAAAACAATCAGTGTACCCTTACAGATATGTGTCAGCAGTGGAAGGTAAAGTCCATATGTGTTTGGTTTCATTTCTTTGCTCCTGCCAATGTTGAGTTTATGTTGTGTTAATTAATTTTTTTTTATTTATTGATTTGCGTTTAAATTGTGTTAATTTAAATTTGGAAATCGTCACAGTTTCATGAACCACAACATCTTGTGTGCTTTGATTTGAGTAAATTTACTGGAATTTTTTTACTTTTTTTTCCTTGTTGTCTCATATGATTTAACTTAATTCTAAACTTTCTACTTATTCGTACTAAATTTATATCATTATTTATATCTCATAGTCGAAAATTATCTTTTTTGAGTTTTTTTTTCCTATTTTTGTTCTCATCTTAATATGAATTATTGCACAATTTTTCTTGTTTTTTTTTCATTCTTAATGTACATTTTTTGTTTAATTTTCAAATTTTTACTACAAAATCCTTTTATTAATTAAGCAAATTTTAATATTTTTTGTGCTAATTTTTTTTGAACAAAATTTCAAAATTTTGCATTTTTTCAATCTTTTTTTTTGGTTTTAAAATGAACAGAAATTTTAATGATGGAAATTTTGGTTTTTGATATTTTTGGAATGGTTTTCGTCAACAAATCAGTTCATTCACATTTAATGCTTAAACTTGAAGCTTCTGGATACAAGCTTTGCGTTCAAGTCTCGAGATACATCAAGCCTGCAATACTTTAATATTGTATCATCAATCTTCGGTTAAAGTCTTGTATTGTAAACCAGTGATGGCCAACCCATGTGTCGCGACACATCAATGTGCAACGAAAAATAATTCGGGAAATCCCATGAATTTACCGTGTTTGGGTTTGGTCATGGTTAACCATCAAGGTGCACCGTGTCACGAAAGAGGTTGACCACCACTGCTATTAACCTATCATATTCAATTGATTTGAGTCAGTTTTATGCGATATTTATCGTCATGAGCCATCAGCTCATTAATCACTTTCAGAACAATTTTAATAATTTTTATTAATTTGATCAGTTTTACATCTTTTATTCACTCGAGAATGCCAAATCATTGTGGCTTTATGTAATTGATGACATCAAAATTAGGAATTGTAATCAAAAATGATCATCCATTAGATTTTTTATATAAAACTGTCAAGTTTATTGCAACAATACCTTTCCAAAATAACCAAAAACCTTGTAAATTTTGAAAAATAAATAAAAATATTTTTTAAACATTCCTTTGGAAAAATTCGTTGAATTTTATTTTCTTCATTTTCATTCAAAAATGAAAAACATTTTTGGACCTCATATTTTGATATTCATTTTAATTAAGTTTTTTTTTTTATTTATTTATACTTGTATGCATGTATGAAGTTTATGATAAATGTTGAGAAATGGGAGTTGGTGATGACTGGTAGAATTTGATTATGTTAACCAGGCTTTGTCTTATATTCTTGTCAATCCAAAGTTGATATAGATTTGTCAATACTTTGTAGAGTTTACTCCTTCAAAATCAACTCTTGAATAAACAAATTATTAAAATATTAGTTTTGAGCAAACTTTTGGTAAAATTGACTTCACATAAATCAGCTTAAAGCAGAGAATGAAGTCGACTAAGATTTTGTATGAATCAAAAGACTAAACTTGTCTGAATTCTTGCATCAAGTATGCTTTAAACAAATTTTTAATGGTATGGTTACCAGGATATCTATCCTAAACAGCACAAAATCGGGCAAATTAATCGTCATGTCGAAAAATTCACTCCGAAATCACCGTGATCCGTCTTGCTATAGGATTTTGACTTGTGCTTTCCGTCTTGTGCTATTTGGGTACAATATATATCTAGGACAATTTAGAACAAATAGGATCTAGGTCCTGATCTTTTGATTCGGTTCATTATTGATGGTTTTAGTAGTTGTAAATTAAACCCAGCTTGAAGTTAAATTTTTGGTGATTTTAGGCCTTGGTCATAGCGTGGTTTGTCATATTTTGTCAAAAATGACTCCAAAAAAAAAAATCTCTGGATTTAATCAAACTTCAGTAGCCTAATTTTTAACATAAGATGGACCTTCAAGTGTCTTTTGGAAGCATTACTGCACGCTGTAGCCTTAGCAAGGAACAAATACTATCCACGATCTACCTAAAGTTTCACAGCATCCAGCAAACCCATTTCTCAATGCACTTAGAGAGCGATAATTTCAATCTTTGATTCATTCTTTGTCTTCGTTGGGCAATTTTTAATTTTATATTCCTACAAAAAAAATTTATGTTCATTTCTATTTAAAAACTTTTTTGTTAAATCTGAAGAAAAATTCTATAAATTTAAATCTCTTTTTTTTTGTCTAAAATGATAATTATTTCTACCATGTTTTAAATTTCTGTCATTTTTTTTCCTTGTTGCGTGATAATTTTTTTTCATTTGTCCATTAAATTTTGTTTTTCCTAAAAACTGAGATATGTAAATGGTTACTACAAAATTTTTATTTTATGGATCTACAGTATTGATATTTTTAAGTACTTTTTTTGACTTCCGCGAGTTTACTTGGAAGATTTTCTTTACTTATTTAGTATTTTACGGCCATTGGAGAATTAAACTTTTTCATTTTAATTTCATGTCTTTTTTCTTGATCTTGTTCCTCAAATTCAGCGACGTGAATCCTCTTTTTTACCTTCATACGTTTTTAATAAATTTTTACCATAGTTTTTTTTTGCATATTTTTTTACTTAATTTTTCAAAATATTGTCTAAATTCTTTTCATTTTTGTGTATAATTTTTGAAATAATTTTTTTAATACTTTTTTAATCTCGACTTCGTATCAGTAATTTCTATGATTTCTACATTTTTACTAGTCCGATAGCTGCTGAGTTTTTATTTTTCTCTGTGTCTCTTTATTGACTTTTTTCTGGGTTTTTAGGACTTTTAGAATTTTTTAAGTATTTTTAAAAATATTTCTAAATTCAAAAAACATTTTTAAAATTTAAAAAATAGTTCTAAATTCAAAAAATAATTTTAAATTTTAAATAATATTTTTAAAACTTCAAAAAATAATTTTAAAATTTAAAAAATATTTTTAAAACTTCAAAAAATAATTTGGATTCCAAAAATGTTTTTAAAATTCAAAAAAAAAAAAAACCTTAAGAATTCAGAAATTTTTCAAAATTAAAATAATCCTAGTAATCCTCAAAAAACCATCAAAAAGACCAAAAGTCCACAGTTCTTATCTTTTTCCCTCACATTCAAGGACATCCCTCAAAAAATCTTAGGTATTAAGCCATTTCATTTAATATAATCTAATTATTACATTCTATATGGAAACTATCCTAAGCCATTTAAAAATTATCATGAGTCGCTTATGTACCGCAAAATAACGCACATCTTTAAATCTATATAAAATCACACAAATTTATTTCATTTACTGCATCCTACGTAGCATAAACGTCCACATAGAAGTGGAATAAGTTTAATTTTTGAACAAAATCTAGGTTTTTGTGGGTCAATAAACTTAAGAGTTGGTTCAAGAGCTACTTTAGGTACCTTATTCTAACCTTCACTGTGGTGTACTCGAACAAAGTAAATGTACAAATAAAGTAGCTACCCTGAGTAGTTTGAAGCCAACACTAATTGATTTTATCCCCGAAATCATTTTTTAAAAAAAATTCAAAAATTCAACAAAGGAAACAAATTTTGGATCGTCATTTTCAACATCCCAGGAAGTGCAAGTCCACAAACTTCCGACCAAAAATGACGTCCATTGCATTGAAAGCTTGGCTTTAATTGGAAAATCTATCAACTAGTCGCAAAATAATTTCAAAAATTTTGAATTGCTAATGAAAAAAAAAAAGAAAAATGTCTTCTACTAATTTTCTTTGTCTTGTTTGACTTAACTAAGATTTTTTTTAAAAAAAATTGAACGTTTTTTTTAATTATTTTGAGGAACAAAAATTTTACAGTTACGATTCTTATAAATTAAGTATTATTTATAATTTTTTTTTATGTTTTTGTCATCACGAATATGTTTTTTTGTTGAATTAATTTCTACATTTTTTATAGAACTTTAAAATTATTTTAATCCTTAAGATTTTAATTTTTTTACACCGATTCTGGTTTATCGCCATTCATTTTTTCATTTTCGTTGTTGTAATTAACATTCAAGTTCTTTGATGATGAGAAGCAAAGTTTCATGATGAATGGGAATTTGGTTCCTGAAATGAGATGAAAAGAATTGTTTTTAATTTATTGAATGTTAGTTTTTTTATTACTTTTTGACATTTTTTGAATTTCTAAAATATTTTTTAAATTTCTTCAATTTTTTTTATTCATTCAATATTTTTTTCAAAATTTCTATTTAATTCAAAGTATTTAAAAAGCAAGTTTTCACCAAAAAATAATAAATTAAAAATAAAAAAATAGAAATGAAAAAATTTGAAATTTCTTGAATTTAAAAACAAAACTTCTAAAAAATTTCAAAGACTTTCAATTCCACTCACCTTTACTTTCTATGGCCGTATGGTTGCATTTCATTATAGCAAGTACAGCTTGAGCAATGGATGGAAATTCAATAAGTCCCGATGATGATCGTTCAGTTTTGAGTGGAAACATTCGTACTGCTGATGGTGGCACGTCCTTCTTGGCGAAAATGTCAACCAATTGATCTTCTGATAGACTTGGTGGAGTGTTGAAGAAATGAAGAATCTAGATTGGATAAAGAATCATATTTTGAGGTTATGTTGAGCTATTCTATAGAAAATATCAACATACCTTGCTTGGTGGTTGAATTCGATTCTTGCAGGCTTGTGCGAGCGAAAGGAAGCGATTGTTTTTAGAGCCTGTGTACTCTTTGAAGCTGGGACTGTTGTCTGGAAGACTGTAGGGGTTCGTCACCTCTGACAAGAAGCTTTGCTTCGAAAAACTGCAAAAAATTGTAGATACTTGTTATTAGGGTCATTTTATGGCACTTGATTAAAGTTTCTAATCAATTTAGTTTCTTGTTCCTTAATATGTCTTGATTTAAACCCGAACAATCAATACTAAGCACTTGAGCAGCTTCCATTTCAGTACAAATACTCAAGACTTGTTGAGACGCATTTAAGAACCAAATTAAAAAGGCAGATACTCACGCAATCTGTAATTTTCCATTGTTACCAACTGGAATGTTGTTAAGGTGCTGTACACATCGTTCAACAGCTACTGGCTCTCCCATTTGAACCATTGCTGTTCCTTCTTTTGTCTTTAAGAATTTAATTCTTGCTACATTTCCTGTAAATATTGAAAATATAAAGATTTGGTTAAAAATTTAAAATAATCATGACGAGGCTAGAGGAAGAGCTTATCAAGTATGACAGAAATTTGCAGACATTATGAAATTGTGATTTTACTCGAGTGAAGATTCATCTAAGTCAGTGTTTTCCAAACTTTTCTGAGCCACGGCACACCTTAGAGATAAGCCATTACCAAAGTCGCACACAGCATGCGGTTCGCGTCATTTACAAAAACTTTATACTTTACACCAGTGTGTCGCGGCACACAGTTTGTGCAACACTGGTCTAAGTTCAGTATTATTCTAAACATACGGCAAAAAAACTGCATTACTTTACTGCTTCTAAGGTAAATGATGGTGTATTCCCCAGCAAATCCTTACATTACCGAATAATTCATATTCAAGCTAAACCGACATTACCGTCTTCAAAATAATTCACCACATTCGAATCCCACCACAATTTGAATCAAAATCTGCATTATCGACCATGACGTTTCTACAATTTTTACACTCTCCACGACACTGCCTGCATATTTCCTCAACTTTCTTATTCTCCTCACACACAATACATAACTGACTCTCATGAAATATTCAGCCACAACTTACCATACAAACAAACGAGATTAAAGAGCTTATCGGTGTTGGAAGTCATAGCGTCAAGTCCATAAACCATCATAACTGCCGCCTGCTGTTGTCCTTGTGCAGCAAATTGTGTTGTTGTATTACGATTGGCAGCTAATGGCGGTTCCTTCATCAAACTCTGTGGTGGTGTTGGTGTTTGCTTCCATGGCTCAGCTACAGCTGCTACAACCGATGTAAGAGTTGGTGATGTCATTGTTGGTGTAGCTGGTGCGCCGGGTGTTGGAATTGATGGAGCAACGGAGCCATTTGTCTGTGAATAATCTTGAGTGGGAACGTATGTGTAGCCGGGTGCTGCATTGCCAAGAAGTGGGGGTTCTAGAAGAAGATAAAATAATTTTTTTGAGGTTAGAATAATTTTTAAATAAAGCATAAATATTAGAATTAATATCCACAATTAGAATGAAATATCGATTTAATCAATTTACATGTACGAGAGCAGTAACTGCAATGATAAATGAGTGTGCATCAATCATGGCGTTAATTCCCTTATTTATTCTATTTTATGTGAAGCAAAATTATCAACAAGTACATTTACATTAACTAGACATACACAGCAAGTGCTTTAGTTTTGTGTCGCGTTGTTTTTTTGTAAGTTTTTGCAATTTTTTATTGTTTAATTTTAGAGATTTTTTAGGTTATTTTGAGGTTATTTCTAGTGACAATTGAATTTTTTTGATTCAAAAGTTTCCTTAAAGCAAGGTTTACCTTACCACATGCACTGTCCTCAAGACTATATCCTTTAGAACCATGCATCTTATTCTCTATTTCCTATACTATCTAATATATAGCTTGAGATTCTTTAAATATTTAAAAATAATAAAAACTGGATCAAAATTGATCAACAACAGCAACAAAAAAGTGAAAGTTTTGATTCATAAATTGCGCAACGTCAATTTGGATTTAGTTCAATTCTTTCACCTTCTCACAAAAATTGTGGTTCAACAAGTTCCTCTGAGTCAGTTTTGTTTGACAGCAATAATTGTGGCATTATTGAATTAGAAAATAGTAGACAGGGAATGACAGCAAAAAGATCCAATAATGATATGAGTTTTAACAATTTTTTTTGATGTTTCAATGCTGCTCAGTTTCGAGGTTTATTTTGAAATGTAAATAAGACCTGAAAGCTGCTCATTTCGACATGTGGACTTGTTGATTCGTTTAGCTTTAGAATTAATGCGAGGTGAAAATTGAGACGGAAAAATTTTTGACTTTTTCTGTTGATTTTGCTTGAAATTTGATTATTGAAGTTATATTGGATTTAATAAAGCCGTTCAGCTCAGAAATTAAAAGGGATTTTTGATTAACATAGCTTTTATGATGACTTCAGAGCTTCAAGTCAATTTTTTAAAATTAACAAGATTTGAGCCAGGTTAGGATATGGGTAAGCGCATGGAATAAAGTGAAATATTCAATGCAAATCAGTCCCTTAAAAACTACAATTTTAGTCGTCAATTCTCAAATTCAATTCCTTATCCCAATCATAATAATCATCTCAATCCTTCTATCGATCTCTCACGCACTTGTTCCTCAGCTCATTAACAGCAGCAGTCTCAGTTGCTCACACAATTCACATTTTCTCATTTTCTCTCATTCGTTTCTTCAGGAATGCCGTTCATTGAAATGGAAATTTATGAGTGCAGCTTACATTTGATTAATGGATTAATGCCTGGACGTACTCAAATTGTACATGAATGAAATTTTTTTGTTTATTATATTCACACCGTTTTCACGTGTGAATCTATTGGTTTTGTTCAGATTGAAAAATCAGTTTTTCGCATTTTGTGAGAAAACAAAGCAAAATTGGTTATAAAAGGTCACAGCAGAAAAGCTTGTGCCTGAAATTTTACATCATTTTCAAAAACAGATTTCAAAGTGGTTGTGGCAATGCTGAGAAAATCGCAAAATACGCTTTCTGTAAGCAAACAAGCAAGCAAGCAAGCAAGTTAATCAGCAAGAAATCTCAATAACGAGACATCGTAGAGACTTCTAGTTTTTTACATTTGATTCGTGCTGCTCTATAGAAGAGCTGTATTGTTTTTGGGCAAGGTAGGAACAGCCGTTGCTTCAGAAATGGCAAAAAACTTTCCTTTCTTACGAATTTTTTAAAACAAAAGTTGACTGTGATTTTTATAAAATTCAACTTTGGATGAAAATTTTTTTTAAAAAACTTTTAAAGAATATTTGGCATATTCGTCAAGCTTTATACCTTCAAACTTATGCTGAGCGTAGCTCAGCTGACTCGATAGCTTTATATATTCAAACTTATGCTGAGCGTAGCTCAGCTGACACTCTAGCTTTATATCTTCAAACTTATGCTGAGCGTAGCTCAGCTTACGCGATAGCTTTATAACTTCAAACTTATGCTGAGCGAAGCTTAGTTGACTTATCAAGCTTCATACCTTCATACTTATGATGGGCAAATCTTGGTCTATCCATAAGACTTATGATAGTACGGTGTGAATATAATCCGCATTGGGTTTCTACCCGATACACTAGTTTATTTTTATTTTTTGTTGCTAATTTCCATCGACACGGAGTTAAGGTGAATAAGGTAATTAACGACAGTTGTTGTATGTTTATTTGGATTTAGATTATAATGACTGGATGAATTAAGTTTGAGAAATTGAGTTATTAATTTCGGTTTTTTGGGTAATTGAGAGGAAATTAAGGTGTAATTGGAGCTTGATGGGGGTTGGCTGGAGTATGGGAAATTAAAAATGCTCATTTTTAGCTAGTTTAGTTAAGCAGCTAAAGTTAAAAGCAGTTCAAGCAATAAATTCACGATCTTAGTCGCATTTGTGGTATATTAACTAGCAACATGTCACAAATCAACAAGAAAATCCAACAAAACTCCCCCAAAATGCAAGTTATGATTTATTTCCATCATTCCAACCTCAAAAATTTAAAAAAAAATTCTTCAAAAATTTCCAAAAACAAAACAAATTTTTTCCTGCACCATTTAATGCGTCACTTGCTGATATTTATGGCAAATTCTTTCCCCCTTTTCATTTCAAAAATGTTCCTAAGCTCTTTTGTTGTTGCCCCAAATGAATAAATTCAACATTAATTTTGGAATAATTCGTAAAGAATTTTAAATGCAAATGAGGTAGCACTGACATAGAAATGAGTGGAATGTTGGATCAATAAAAGGAAAAAAAGTGGTGAAATTTATGGAAAAAGCTGATTAATGGGTTGATTTTATATTAATGATTAATTTTTATGACCTTAAATTATAGCTGGTGTGTTTTTTTCAGGATATAAAAATTATTGCAATTTGTAATGAAAACTAGATTTTGAGATCTTTAATGCTGGCCGTCAAGTTTTGGCCTTTGACTATTTTTTTTTGAGTTGCCATGATTAGAAAAGTGATAAAAGTACCCAAATCTGACTAGACATTCCCTGAAATCGAACCCGAGTTGTTAGGGTTTTTTGTCCAACACTCTAATCTTTGAGTAGGTCTTTGACTTTAATTTATTTAAAATTAATAAATTTCGACAAGTTTAAGCATTAAAATTCACAACTTTTAGCACTTTTTATAATGCTCACAATCACCATTCAGGGCGAGTCTTATAGGACTGATCGAAACTTGGCTGAAAATTCGGTTAAAATTCCGTTACACTTAGGTTCAACCGAATTACGGGTGACCGAGTTTTGGATGAAATTCGGTTAAAAATTGGGTTCGACCGATTTAAAGTTGACCAAAATTCGGTTACATTTAGGTTAAACCGAAAAATGGGTGACTGAAATTCGGATGGAATTCGGTTGAATTCCAGTGGAGTTTCGGATGGAATTCGGTTGATTTTTTTCAATCCCTAATTTCATCCTCTTCAATTAAGAGAACCACAATTTTATTATTTTCGCGACAATTTTTTTTATTGTAGTTGAGTGATGGCAAATTTTCTATTCCGACAGAAACAAAATAAAAATTTCTATTAAGTGCATGCTGCACATCATCATCATCATCATTCACTATTATTGCACAACATTGCGCAAATAAATAAATGAAATGAAAATGAGAGAAAAATATTTTCACAAAAAACACAGCGAAAAAACCCGTCAGCTAATTAATTTCTTCCCTCACTTGACATGCATCGTGGCATCAATTTTTCACTTATTCTTTCTTAACTCCTTCAATTGCCATTAGTTTTTTGTACGATGTGAGCTAATGCATGTAGTTGAAAAATATTTTAATTGACAGCAGTTTTGTGTTTTGTGTTTATTTTGGGATCCATTATTGTTGGATGGTTCTTTTGTTTGTTTGATGTCTGGCAAAGTTTATTGCTAAAATATGAATGCTTAAAGTGGCGAACTTTTGATTCTCAAAACTTAAGTTTTCTCCCAAAGATATTCCCAAGCTACCTCACAAGTTGATTTTAACAGATTTAATCGAAACCATAAAAGTCAATTGCCATGTTTTCTGCTAAATAAAAAGTCATCCATTCATGCATTCACACCTCATGTTTTTAATAATGTTTGACATGATTAACATTATAAGATATTTGTGATGTTCAGTGTCATAAAAAAATTATTATTAACTTCTGCGGTGAAGCATGAAACATGTTTGCCGATGTGATTGTCTAAATTTCCATTATTCCTGTAATGTATTGTCTTCTTATTGGCACATATACGTGAACATTATAAGCATGCATAGACAATTGGTGAAAGAAGTGATGAATAACGGGCTTAATGAATGCTTTCCGTCAATTGATTGATTTCCCGTTGTGTGTAATGTAAATGTGCTGCTCATGAATAAAGAAGTTAATGACGTAACTCAATTACGAATGGCTATATGGAGACATGAGCATGCATAAATGAGAATTTATTGGTTTTTGCGGGTTTTTGAGTGTGAAAACTCTTTGTTGCATGATTTAATGCAAACTTTTTGCATCTTTTATAGCAGATTATTTTGCATCTTTAGACGCAAGCTTTTTGCATCTTTTGAAGCATACTTTTTGCACCTTTGGAAACAAGCTTATTGCATCTAGGCGTCTTCTGAAGCCAACTTTCTACATCTTTGAAGAAAATTGTTTGCATCTTTTGAAGCAAACTTTTTTCATTTTTTTCTAATGGAGCAGATTATTTGCATCTTGTAAAGCAGACTTTTAGCATCTTTTGAAATAAACTTTTTGCATCTTTTAAAGCAGACTTTTTACATCTGTTCAAGCAGACTTTTGCATCTTTGAAAGCGAGCTTTTTGCTCCTCGAAGCAGACCATCTGAATCTTTTGAATCAAATATTTTGCATCTTTTGAAGCAGACTTTTTGCATCGTTTGAAACAAACTTTTTGCATCTTTGAAAGCAAGCTTTTTGCATAT